CCATGTGCCTTAAGAAATTTTATGGGCCATGTCATAGGTTGTTACAGTAAACTTTCTATGTTGTCTTGTCATCTTTCTTTGATGTAATTCATGATTTCAATAATATATTTTGATACTAAATATATTGTATCAAAATATAGATACTGGAAAAATCATCTGGTGACATTATTTTCCTTCTTTTTGTGTCTCCATCATGACGAATTCATGGCGGTTTCTTAAGAGCAGATTTTGAAATCATTAGAGTCTTGTCATCGACCATGGCACCATAATCCATGTCAGAGATTTTACCGTTGAATTGGAAAAAGTGAAACCACATTCCGATCAATCGAAAAGAAATATCTTCTTCACAAGAGAGAAGAACAATAGATATAGATCATCAAGAGAGATCGCACCTTGATCAGGGTTACTCTTTGAGCGATTGAAAAATGAAAATCGCACTCACCATCGCATGTAAGAGCATGTTTAATGTTGTTTCTTAGCATAGGTCTCTTAGCGAAAAAATGATAAAGAAATCGGTGAGGTCCAACATTTTAATAAGGAACGGGTGTTTGAGAGCTCAACTAATGGACGTTTTTTTTAGTTGCATACACTGTTTATTACTTCCTCTTCTTTTTTTTCTTTAATTTAAACAAAAAAATAATAATAATAATAATAATAATAATAATAATAAAAATTACATATGTTTCCGTATCTGCATTAAACATGCTCTAGATTGTTTCATTTGCAAAATGGGACACAGTCATTAATTTAATTACCCTTTAAGAAAATTAGATGGTTTCCTTTAATTTAATTTCTTTTAACCACATGCCGTTAATTCAATTGAAACAAATAATTGGCTATTGTGTAAGAGAGTCTCGATTCGAATGATTGATGAGATGAAATTAATAATACATGATATTATATGGTTTCGGATCTAAAGAGATTATGGGTTTTGTCCCTGAACCTCCGGGTATTCAAAAAGAAGTAAAGACACCATTTTAACAGTATAGAACATGAAGGACTCTAGCTATCTGGTACAATTTTGGCTCTCTTGGTCTTAATCATCTTCTCTTTTAGAATAGACTTACACCTAATACAACTTTTATTTTGGCAAGGTGCTACTATAGTCTCATGGCTGGTTAACCTCATGCATTTTAAAATCCATCACAAACTCTATCCTTTCTTTTAATGAAATTGACATACATATAAAAAAAAATTTTAACATACATATAACATGGTATAAAATACAAAAAAAAAGAAATATAATGTGACCATCATTTTATTGACAACCCGAATTGTAAACGCAATAAAACTCAAAAATTAGTGATAAAATATTACTGCAATCCTCCAAGGGGGCCCCTCATCCAAGTACTACATGAAACAAGTATATGCATAAATTTACATGAACCCTATGCTCGATCATTCACAGCTGTCTTTCTTCCCAAAAACATCCAAACCTAGCTTTTTTTAACTTTACTCCCAATTTCGGTTTATTTTCTTTGTTAAAATAATTTCGATTTATTTCTCTTCCAACTTTAAATTTCTCTTGACTCATTTTCTTTATTTTTTCATTTTTACCCTGAAACTTTAAATACGTGAATGCTATATCGTCCAAGACCAAGTTCCGATCGCGTAGAAGCGTGGATTGCCATTTCCATGCACCACGCTCACTCTCTCCACTCATTAGTACGTATACACACTGCATGCATGCTCGTATCACGTGACCCCGTAACTTCGCCGGCCAGATCCATCAACGGGTATGCATCCGCCACTTGGCTCGATATGGAGCGTTTGATATTTTTGGGACCACGATCACATAAGTACTCATCATCATCGTCGGAGTTTGATGTTGTTTTTCGATATTTGTCCCCTCTCAGGTTTTTTCAATTGCTGCAAAACATGCATGTTGCCATACTTGTATTTGATAACTAGGGCTCTTGTAATTATTGCTCGATATAAATAGAAATTTGGAGAATATTCTTGGTGGGAAGATTACAAATACTTAAAACTAGTTGTAGTCCGACAAAATAACCCTTATGTTTTACCTCTTTATCTAAGCTAAAGCAGTATTTCTATCATATATGCAGATACCATATTTATCATTGCACCAACACAAACGGACATGATCATGTTGATATATAATGTTTTAAAAAAAAACATGATATTGATACATATCTATGAGAGATTCGTTGTTAATCGGTGCAAAATGACAATTCAATGTACTAGTATATTTTATTGGCCTCAAAGCGTATATTACAAAACACCAAGGCTTCAAATATATAAAGATAAGTATCTAATGGATTTTACCAAATTATTGATGAACGATGGCAGCGAATGGGATCAATTAATCAACTTGCAGAGAATACCATTTTCACCATTTATAATTTTGGTTTGTAACCGTAGGTACAAAAAAATAGAAGAACAAGTGGTTGTCCGCTGCAAACTTTTTTAATATTGGTTCAAAATGGATTAGTTGGCTTCCACTGCAACGACTAAAATTCTCAGAGATCGATATATAATTTTAAAAAATTGAAATGTTATGTTGACAATATATTAATCATACGAATTAATATATTTTACGAATTTTGGTAGAGATGGTAGAAATTTGGGCTTAATTAAAGTCATTTGCCATAAATTTAAAGGCTTGTGTTTTTTTTGTTCTTAAAAATTTCAGCATTTGGTCACATAACAACTCAATTGTTAATCGGGGTGGGCAAAATGAGGACAAAGTCAGATGTCTTTTGCAAAAAGCAAAGTTAAAATTAAAATTATAGCCACTTTCAGAATAAAAATATTAACTGTGTCGTTTAACAGTGAAAATAGTCGGGCAGTTGAGTTTTCTGGACTCTTTGTACTGTAGATAAAATTAGTAAACTAGCTGATTTTTATCTTACATTATTTTGGTCAATTTAATAAGCCAAGATCAGTTCATTTATTCTTTTATTTGTATGGAGACGTATTGACAGATATTCTGGCAGAGAAAAATTAATCTATCAGACAATTTTCTTTTTTAACAAATGTAACCAAAGGAAGCTCAAAATAATAAGCATGCGTATGTATACCTATGGGAAATCATGAAAATTTGCCATTTAGCGAGACGTAAATGTGAGTATGTGACCACGGATTTGTCTTAGGACTAGGTAGCATAGGTTGGTGATGCAACACGAGCAATAATTGACGAGGGTGATGATGATGGCGGTGGTGCTACGGTGTTAAACACATACATATTTATACTACAGACGCGCGAAATGGAAACGCATAATGGTAATAAACAGAGAGAGGTTATTAATTATGTCTCTTACTAAAAATAGAAACATGAAAGCCATCCTTCTGAAAGTGAGGTGGACTGTTGTACAAGACCTGAACTTGAGAGTGGTCTGTTCGTCAGCATGCGCATCAAAGTCATCATCTCCGTTTCAAAATTCTTGATAGGAAATTAGCAACTTGTTCTTATCTGCGGTTATTTAATAAACTAATGGCTTTTTTTGTTTGATCAACAAGTAATGACTAAACAATGCATGAGGGAGTGTTCCAAATTAAATTTTACATTATTGAAATAAGTTAACATGTGCATGCATCTTATATTAAATAAGGCAACCCCAAATTGTTGTCCGTGGCCGTTAGATAGCAAAAAAAACACCTAACTTAAACTGATTTCAGTTTTGATTGATAGACTAATAAAACCACTGGATTACTAGTACATAAGTACTTATACTGTTATACACTTAGTATAAAAACTTGAAACATTGTTTCAGAGAGATCGTCAACCGACAAAAGATATATTTATATGTTTAGCAGCATGCCTTCCTTATAAGTTAACATTAGCTAGAACGAACAAATCTACGTGCACGTTTCACATTCGAGCATCTTTAATTGCACAAATTACTAGCCACATACGTTAGCTAATTATGGCAATCATCTATCTGGCGACTAATACTCTTTGTATTAAGATTCGAATTTTTTAGAAAATTCTGAAAACCTATGCATAACTTACCATGTCAAATCTGCCATAGCACTACACGACGAAAACTAATGTACATAAAGGCAACTGATTACATAAATCCATCATGTCGGGCTATATACGATGGACACAACGTATTCACTGTCAAATTTCATGGATAGCAAATTTGTGAAGCCTTAAAATTAATGATCAACATAACGATAAACATTAATACATAACGACGATAACTTATACATTAACACACAAGTTAAATAGACCAAAACACTTTCTTGTGCACCTTATACTAACACAGTTGGATACGCAAAAACTACATAATTAAACAAACACACCAAGCTAGGGGCGTTATTAAGCTCCTCGACACACTTAGAAATATCATAAGCATCCTAGAAATTTAAACATAACCATCCCTAACGGGAACACAATTATTAGTTAACGCCTCTTTTTGTGTTTAGTAATTCCATACGCAATCAAGTCCACCGTTAAGCAGACCGGCCTTTGTCTCGTTCTCTTCCGCCGTCGTCTGTAGCCAGTAGTTCATTCCGGTACCACCGTGGGAAGAAGGCAGGTTAACGGAGGTGGTCATGGTGGATGCAGAAGACGACCCAAAGTAAGGAAAGTAATTGAAGTTCTCTTGGAACGACCTAAAGTTAGATAGAGGCGAGGCGTTTCTAGAGACAAAGCGCGGAAAAGGGTCAAACCCATGCGGCGCAGGCGGTAGAAGATGGTTGAATAAATCAACGTTAGCATCTAAGCCCAAGGCAGTAGTAGTAGTGGCAGTGGAGAAACAGGACACGTGCTCGGTTATTGCGGTGGTTGTGTTGGTGCTACGGCTGTCGTAGGACCAGCTACTGTCGGTGTAGCCGAGGGTTGTGGTGGGGTCAAGGAGAGGAGGGAGTGAGACGGAGGAAGGAGAGCTTGGTTGCTCACGGTAAGTTGTGGAGATGTTCGAGGGTATTTTTGTCTTTTTAGACGTACCGGTACCACTGCTAACGCTAGTAACTCCAGCTGAGGCTCCGGTATTAGCTAAACCGGTTTTCTTGAAAACCCTAGAGATCACCCATTCGTCCTGAGGGAATAATAAGAATTTGTGAGAAAGTTAGATATCTAAATAATATGGTGAGAAAGTCAATGTTAGATCTTGGAAATACAAGGAGTACTGGAGATCAAAAATAACCATGGTGTAAACGCTTGCATAGGGGAATGTTCATCGGTCATTGACAATAGATATGGAAAATTAATTAGATTTGCAGAAATTTCATTTAATATATCTATATATGTCAGAAGATCCTGAAGATGGGTTTACATTGGATTTGGGTTTTGCATTGATCTTTCCAAAAGTAGAATATATTAATAATTTCTGTCAAAATATTAAAATTTCTTGCTCAGGAAATCACCATTATGATTGAGCAATATTAAAGGCAGGGAAAAAATAGTTGTGCTTTTTCAGCCATCAATATCAAAGGCAGGAAAAAAAGGCAAAACAAAAACTCAACGTCACCGACTATGTCATAGCCTTGAGGAAAGAAGCAAAAGATTATAAAAGAAAATAAAAACGGTTCAAATAAATTGATACCTTCGAGCTTCTGGAGATGAAATGGTAAGAGAATTTGCCTTCAAGACGATATTCATGCATAACCCAACTGCTCTTCTCTCCTTTAGGAGCTCGTCCTTTGTAGAAGACAAGAGTCTTCTTCATCCCAACAAGTGCACAAGTCTTTGAGCTATAAATCTCTCTATCTTTTCCGGTAGCTTTCCAGTAACCAGCCTCCGTTGCTCTATTCGTTCTCAGTCCCGTCGGATATTTCCGGTCACGGAGGCTAAAGAAGTACCATTCTTTCTCTCCCATATTAGCTTTCCCTAAAGAAAGTAAGAGTGGTTTAAGTAACTAAAAGATTCAAGAAGAATACAAGGTCTAACCAAGAAAGTTACGAGAACTATATAATGGAATTTGACAAAAAAGAAAAAAAAACTAGATAACGGAAGTTAAGAGTTGGTTTGTTTTCTCTTACCGGGAAGTTGCCAAGGCTCGCACTTGTTGAGATCAACCTCTGCGATGGCACGGCTTGAGAAGCAACCGTCGAGGACCTTACGGAGGAGGTAATGAGTGATGAGCTCTTCATCTGTCGGATGAAACCTGAAACCCGGAGGGAGATATTGGCTGTCTCCTCCGTGGTCATAGTGGTAATACGGAATGTCCATGAAGAAAAAGATTTTAAACTTTTACTGAAAACCCTAAGGAGACTCCAAATGTTTCTGAAGAGGAGGGGGATACACAAATATAAATAGAATTGAAGGTTATTGAGTTAGGGACTTTGATTTGATAACGTGGATGGATATTTTTATTTTTTACTAGTATTATATTTGTTGTATACATAGGGATTTGATAAATAAAAAACGGCGATATTGATGGAGTTTTTTGTATTGAAAGTAAATAAAAGTCGTAGAGATAATAATTATAATAAACAGACAGGTACGTCTACTCTTTCATAGGAATCTGTGGTTTTCTCTGCCCTGTCTTGTAGTAAAGATAGCAAAGCCAAAGCAGATTATTACATCATATTTTTTAGTTTATCGATATATTTTCATGTTTATAAATTCGAGATTTTTATCAACAGAATTAAAATTACTTCAATTTAGTTATGCAGTGTCCGTATTTCTGTCATTAAATTATTAAAGAACAATGAATAGACTCTTGTTATTATCTGAGTATGCGTGCGTGCATGAGAAAAAGTGCAGTGGTATTCCCTGTCAGTGATAAAAATACGAGAGGATACAGAGTCTATCTTTTTTATTAATCGTTCATTTTTGTCTACAAACTTGTTTCTTTGTTTACTATTATGCGTTTGGTTACAATATTATTTATTGTACACAAGGACGAATTGAAACAATAGTAGTATTATAGTAAGGAAAAGGAATACATTATTAGACATACAGTAGTTATTTGGAAAACAAAGAATTCCCATTTTTATTTATAAAAAGTATCGATAAGGCTGTTTCAAATCTTGGAGTGTCAGCACAGTACATGATTAATTTATCAAATTTTGACAGAGACTTTGTTACTACACGCCACCACCTTCTCTACCTTTCACCTCGCTCTCTCTCTGTCTCTTTCTATCTTATTTTATTGGCTTCAAGTTTTTATATCTGCGGCATAAAGGTAATTTACAAATAATTATTTTGAGTTTTATGAATCAAACAGTTACAGACTTACATACAGGGTTATACCAAATCAAATATCGATGCGGTCTGTTCTTTTATGTTTTCTTAATTATTATTCTTTTAAATGTATAATTTTGCTATTTATACTAGGAGTTGTAATTTTAAAAGGTCGTACATGTGTTTATGGTAGAAACCAATGCATCACAATTTCATTTGATTGTCGTAACTAAAACATAGTTGTTTTTTTCTTACATGCGAAACTTCCCAACACAAGATGAGGTTCTTCTTTTTCAAAAAAATAAAAGGATGAGGTTTCTAATTAAAAAAAAACATGAGGTTTAAATTAGAAAGAAAGTTCGACAAAACGGTCGACACAGCAAACCAAGTATATTGCAGTGTAAGAGAGGAGTGTAGCCAAAAAGAGAGGAGTGTAGCCTGTTACAAACATTTTTTCATACGTAAAAAAAAAGTCAGCTAAACTTGATCAAACATTTCGTTTCTTTGACTAACATATATTCGTGCTTTCGAGTTTGTGTAATGAAAAGTAATAGTTATATTTTACCAAAAAAAAGTAATAGTTATACATTAAAATCATTATCAGAGACATGGTAAGACTGTTACAACTGCTATTACTGTTTCCCTAATATTTATTACTGACTAGTAATGTAGGTCTATCTATCCGTTTAGACATATCAGCAATTGACAGTAGCTAAATCTAATTAATAAGCTTATCTTATTCCTTAAATATTAGGAGAAAATAAACCAAATTAAAGAGGATTAAAATGGTAAGTTTATAAAATAAAAGAAAAAGTACTAGCTAATTTTCTAAAATAAAGACAAAGGTCATACACTGAAAAATTGTCTAAGAACTAAGATAATGTAGTTTACCATTTAGAGCATATCCCAAAAAACATTCAATAACTTTAAATATGAAGTTCTCTGTCTCCAAAATGAATTGTAAAACTTCCAATTTGAAGTTTTAAATCACTACTCAAAACTTCAAATTGAAATTTCATATTTTTATTTGTATTTTGGTTACACATTTATGATTCTTCAGTATTTTGTTGTTTATCTTTTTAACCCTTAAATTTGTTTATCTTAGAAATATTTCAAAATTATTTTTATAAATTTAAGTTTTATATGTATTTAAAAGACCATTAAAATCATATTAAAATATTTTAAAATTAAAAGTAGAAAAAAATGTTACAAGATTTAATGTGGTATGTTATTTGTACTTTAATACTTAATTATATATTTTAGTTTAAGATTTTATTAATTAATATTTTTGTAATATTTTATACAGGTATTTAAACATTTTTATGAATTTAAAGTAATTATGAAAAATATAAAGACCATAATACAAACAACAAGTAATTTTAAATTAAATTAAAGTTTTGATTTTAGAGAAGAACCCTTTTAAATTTTCGAATATAAAGTTTTGAAAACTTTAAAATATAAAATATTTCTTTCTCTTAGGGAAACAACTTACATTTGGGAAATAGACTGCTGCCTAAGTCTATCAATTTATGTTTCATATATTTTGTTTACTTTTGCTTCTAAATTGTTTACTTTTCGCTCAAGTTTTTTTTTATATTGTTTACTTTTGCTTCTAAAAATCTGATAAGATAAGTTTTTTATATATTATTAGTAAATTTTTAAGTACTTAATGTCTCCAGCCCCTATCATATTCGATCTACTATTTAATGTTCTTATTATTCACACCAAAAACCCTCAATTTGTATTAACGTTAAGAAAATACTTGCTATCACATAAAAAAAGTACTTGCTATCACATTTGATACACCGCCCAACTTTATCGTTGTTATTAAAGAAATTTGGCTAATAAATATCCTACAAACAAAAACAATACATAACCATAATAAATTCATAGTTAGACTATGGTTTATATTATTAGACTTATTGACCCAAAAACTCTTCAATTACGCGTAGATAAAAAAAAGAATTGTCTCTCTATTTACATTTTTTCTTTCTTCCTGAAACCCAAAAGTGATGAAAATGAAAGATTTGGAGAAAGCAATTTGGAAAAAGTAATTGGACATTGACACTTCACAAGAGAAAGAGATAGACTTCGAATCATGGATTTGTGAGAAACACCAAAGAGAAGAGCTGAGTTAGGGTTCTGTTGGTTATTCATATTTAATGGCGCATTAATTATAAATCCAGTTGGAACAATTACATGCGGTATAGAAAAAAAGGTAATCTCAGATAATAGGTTGTGAGTAGATTTTTATTTAGACAAATTTTATGCATACGAGATATGTTCAGATTTGTCACTGTGTTTCTGCAATTTTTTCAACTTAGTTTTTGGGTTTGTGAGAGGGGGTGAACAAACGTATTCTATAACTACTAATGTTATACTATATTAGTCATCTTAATATAACACAACCAGGAAATTTAACACTACACTATATGAAACATCATAATAGTATAGTAGTTCTCTAAGGTTTTAAAACCTACATTTAGGTTTTGTGGAAGTAGGAACAAATGTATGTATTTTCTATTCTATATTATACACATTAATAGTATAGTATCTGATTATGTGAATAGATACAATATGCAATAACATCCTATCTCTATATGCTGAATCTTTGATGTTGTTATGTAAGTCTTGAATGCCATGTCTTGAACATCCATAGCTGGAACCCCGTTAATTTTGCAGATCCATGTGAAATCTCTACTCGGGGACTAGGAAAAGGTCATCGGAGACGGCTGGTAATGCTTTAAATTCAGGTATGAGTCTTCTTGTATACACGGAATACGAGATCTTAGGCATGGGCATTCGGGGTCCCATTCGGGTTTCAGTTTTGTCTAATCGATCTCGGTTCTTCGGATTTATCAAAATAAACCCCATTCGGATTATTTGAAAGTTTGGTTCGGGATCATTTCGGGTTCTATAGGGTTCGGGTCGAGGTTATTAAATCCTTAAAGAACCGATACAACCTGTTATACTTTCGGATTCGGGTCCCAATTGGTTCCTTGGTTTAAAAATATTTTATTTGTACCTAATTTGTAACCAAAACATAAGTAAAATCAGTTCTTCAGATTTAAAGTACCTAATGTGTAACTATTTTGTAACCAAAACATAAGTAAAATTTATTCAAAAATAAGAAAGGAACATCAAACTTGATCATTCAAAATCAAATGAAAGGTAAACATAGTTATAAAACTAAACCAAGTTCTTAAAAAATGAGAAACATTATTCAATAATAACAAAAGTTTAATTTAAAATTTTCAAATTTCAACCGCCACCTTCAACCATCAACCTTCATGTAATAGAAAATTATTTTAGATGTTTAGTAATATCTTAAAATATTTTGGATATATATTAGGAATTAAGATCATGTTCGGTACATGTTCTTATTCAAAAATTTGAATGTTTCGGATTCTATCGGATATCCATTTAATTTTGGTTTCGGTTCGGATAATACCCATAACCTGGAATACCATAAAACAAGATCCATTTGGTATTTAAATCGGATACGGATCGGTTCAGATTCATTTTTATCGGATCGGGTTCGGTTCGGGATTTTGAGTTTGGTTTATTTGCCCAGCCCTACGAGATCTGGTGATAGATGTTTTTGTATTACTGTTATTTTCAAAACTCATTATCTGATTATTCATAGAGAAAAAGAGATAAAATCTATAATGCGAAGTAAATACTATGTTATATAATATAGTAGTATACGGCGACTGATGTCAATTTGCGGCATAAAACTTTATTATTACATTGAGAACTATATGGCCGAAAAAACATTATGGTTCTTTAACTTGTAAATGGCTGTGACGTGAAATAACGTATTTGCATTCCATGTTTAGGATGGAGGACCGGATCAGTTGTATCAGACAGGGTTCAACTGTCTCTATACTATATCATTTATAGTTTATAATAGGATCAACAATTTCAAAACATGTGTGATGCAGAGGTTCTTATGTATCACCAATGGAAGATTGTATTACGCTAATCCTCTCCATGTGTGTTTATATGGTATAGTTCATTGTGTTTGCAAATTTACTAAACTG